TAAATTATAAATTACTACTATTATAAATTATTCAAATATCAATCGAAGCAAATACGAAATATTTACATGATGGCTAGAAAAAGCGAGTACTATCAGGATTCGAAATGAAGGGCAGCAAGCAGCAGTTTTGCTACCTGCTCTCAACCTCAAATCCTTGCTGCCAAGAAATTTCTAATAAAACTGCAGTAAAAGCACCAAAGATTCTTCCTGTCGGGTACATTTGCTGCCTGTTCCCTTCTCTTGACAGCAAGTTGTTGCTGCCTGGCAAAAGGTTCATTTACAATGAATATACGATTATGATCATGACCTACAGTGCTCGACGTTCTCGTAGCTTTTCATTGCCTATCACATGCATCTGTCCTATACGCATTTACACACGCACACACACGCGCGCGCACGCACGCACGCACGTACGCACGCACGCACACACACACACACGCCACGCACGCCACGGCACGCACCACACACACACACACACACACACACGCACGCCAAGCACGCACGACGGCACGCACACACACACACACACACACACAACATTAAGGCACTGTAATATAAGGTAGTACAAACTTGAATGCACTATATACGAAGCGGTGAAGACATAAGGCACTATTTAATTCTAATAGAAAGCTAGTTATACACCTTAACGCGATTAGTCCATATAATATAATACATCCGCAATATAATTACTAAATATCTAAATGTCACGAGGCGTAAGCAAAAGTTCTAGGAAATTCGACATTATATACACGTATTATAAGGCACGATATATAAGGGCATCATTCAGGTTACGTGCAGACAAGCGACTATCTGCATGTTGAGGTACGAAGAAACGATGACTTATCATGTCTAAAATATATCGATAAATTAGTATCGATATCTCATCGATATTGCAGACGCGCTATACTCCGGCATGTCTCTTTACATCGTGGCTGGCTAGTGCTGGTAGCTTCTAGCGCTGGTAGCCTCTAGCGCTGGCACAGTCGAAGGCACCTATAGTGAATGTATTCCGCTCATGCGTAGCCCGAACGTTCGCTAAACCACGCCCTATAGCGTCGCTAAGCCACGCCCATAACGTCGCTAGAGCCAGCCATACGTTCGCTGCAAAGCACAAACGCGTGCCAGGTCCATACGTCGCTGAGCCACGCCCATACGGGGTCGCTAAAGCCCACGCCCTATACGTCGCTAAAAGCACGTCGCATACGTCGCGTCTAGAGCCCTACGCCCATACGGCTCGCTATAAAGCCACGTCCTATACGTCGCTAGATGAGTATTGCTAGCACGCCCATAGGTCCGCTTAGATCGCCATAGCGCCTGACCACGCCCTACAGCGATGCTAGATCCACGCCGTGGAGGTCGCTAAGGATCCACGCCCAATAGGTCGCTAGACCCACGCCCATACCTCGCTTAAAATTCCACCGCCATATCGTCGCTTAGATTCCACGCACATACGTCCCGCTATGATCCACGCACCATACGTCAAGCTGTTGTCACCGCTTTCGTGCATATAAGTATCACCGAGGTATACGCCTCTCATATACATAAACTACTCATCAAGAGCTAATAATACTAGTATTTATATAGGCTGCTGATAATATCAGGAGTGAATATAATAGAATATTTAATCAATTAGATCAATTGCATTAAATTATATAATCTTTATCCTATTCCTCCTGGATAGTCTCGCCAAATATGCAGGCACCGCACACACGCACTTAGACGACGACCACAGACAACACAAACTTGCGAGGCGCATACCAACATACATGCACACACGGCACGCTACGCACGCAATGGACGCCGCCACGTGCCTTCGGGCGCTACTTCACGGGCACCCTCCGCTCTCGGGCTCCTGCATCCTCTCGTGGTGAGGGCTTCGCAGGAAGGCCACGCTTCGGTCTACGACCTCCTTTAGGCGGCCCGCGCTGCTGGATCTTCTCGGCGTAGTGCGATCAGCGTCGAGATGCGAGCACCCGTGGGCCCGGCCGCACAGTGCTTCCCGTTCAAGGTCGTAGTAGGCGAGCGTTGCGCCCGCCCAGCGGGAACGCCGACGCTCCGGCGACCGTCGGCGGCGGCCGGTGACGCCGCATTCTCTCCGCTTTGTCGTGCAGCGTTCGTCGCCCACGGGCGGGCTGAAAACGGCGGCAGGGGCGCAGCGCGACGCCAGCCCCGTATCCAGGCCTGCGCGCCGCCGCGGGGCAGCACCCGTCGGCATGGAGAAGAGTGGCTCGATGATTTCTTGCGGTCCGCAGTCGCAGTCTTTCGCTGTCGTCTGTGGCGGCCAACTGCCTCGCTGCGTTCGCGCGCGTCGCGGCTGCCTTCCCGCCTCTTGCTGCGGCGTCACTGATTTGACGAAAATGATTCGCCGCGTGTTGCCTGACGTCGACGTCTGGTGGGCACGCCGCCCTTCCCCCCGCGTGGTGCCTGCCCCTCCGGCGCGCCGAGTGCGTGTAGCACCCCAGCGGCGCCCATCATCGAGCATTGTTGCGAGGGCTCAGCCTGACTGGTAGTTCTCGTCGGTAGCCATGGACTCGATGTGCATCTTCGGCCTCCCAGGCTTGCCGCGGCATGTGCCTCATGTACTCTTCGACGCTGCGCTCAGCCTCGCGCCCTGGCTTGCTCAGCAATGTCGCCCCACACGACGCTATCGTGCCCTCCGACGGGCTCGCGCCGACCAGGCTCAGGTTAGTTTGGCGTAGGCCAGCCCGCTTACGCCGACGCCGGAGGGGCGGCGGTTGAGTGGGGCGAATGTCGAGAACGGTTGTTGGCGAGCCGCCGCTACGACTGGCGCGCGGCCGCGTTGATGAGGGCCTGCCCCGTGCGCTCAGTGTCGAGCAGGTTCCTCCATGCAGGTTCCGCTGTCCGCTCGGCTCCGGACATGGCGGTGGCGACTGCAACGATGACGATACCTGCAGTAGGGCTTCGGTTCGGTCAGGTGAAGATGCGGAAGATGCTGGCAGTGAGACGGGATGCTGGAAGGAATTGCCGCAGGAAGGATGGGCAGGAAGATGCTGCAGTGAGGATGCGGGAAGATGCTGCAGTGAGGATGCGGGAAGATGCTAGAGCTATGCTTTATCCCATGTCATTCACACTCGTGCGC